GGGTGAGAGACAGTGTCGAAGGCCTTCCGAAAGTCCAGGGTTGGACTTGATCTGCTCAGGTCTCTTCTGACCCTACTAACTATGAATTAATTGTGGAAGGATTTCTCTCTCAAAATTCAGCCCAGTAGAGTGGCACAGAATTTAACGTTGTCACATTTTTTGATATAGCCTATCCTGGACAGCCACACATGTAGTTAGTACAATTCCCATACAAAAAGGTGATTACTTCCAGCGTCACATCCAATTGCAGTGGCACAATGATCCAAGAAGGGCAGAGGCTGGGAAAGGCACCCAAGCAGCCTGAGAAGGGCAGTAACCTGAGCCAGAGGCCCAGCAGCCTAGGAGAGGCACAGACCGGGGCCAGGGGCCCAGAGTAAGAGATAAGGGCTGGAGGTCCAGAGCCATAAGTATATGACTAAGGGCAAAGGCCAAGAGACCCAGACACAAACCAGTGGACCAGGACTGGAGGCTTGCAGCCAGAGAAAAAGGGGTGGAGGCTGAAAGGACGGAGGCCCCAACAAGAGAGTGACTGTGCAATGACATCTGCAAGGCATGGGTGTGGTATAAGGGGCAGTTGGAGCTATGTAATATGCCTTTAAGGTAAGCCAGGTCAGAAGAGTTGACTACTGGAAAAGAGAGAGTACCTTAGACTTGTCAGTCTCTAAGGGCAGCCTCCCTTTCATGAAGACATTTTACAGGTCAGAAAACTGCCAGATTTCACAAAGTCTCTTCCAGTAATTATTCCCCTCCATTCAGCGCTGGTGAGGCCACATCTGGAGTAGCGTGTCCAGTTTTGGGTCCCCCACTACAGAAAGGATGCGGACAAGTTGAAGAGTCCAGTGGACAGCAACAAAAATGGTGAGGAGGCTGGGGGACATGATTTCTGTGGAGAGGCTGAGGGAAGTGGGCTCATTTAGCCTGGAGAAGACCAAAGGGGAATTTAATAGCAACTTTCAACTACCTGAAAGGTGGTTTGAAACTAGGTGGAGCTGGTCTGTTCTCAGTGGTGGCAGATGACAGAACAAGGAGCAATGGTCTCAGGTTGCAGCAAGGGAGGTTTCAGCTGAACATTAGGAAAAAATTCTCACTAGGAAGGTGGTGAAGCACTGGGAATGGGTTACCTGGGGTGATGGTGGACTCTCCATCTGTGGAGGTTTTAAAGCCAACCTGGATAAAGCTTTGGCTGGGATGATCTAGCTGGGGCTGGGCCTGCTTTGAGCTGAGGGTTGGATGAGACCTTCTGAGTGCCCTCCCACCCCAATTTTCTACGAAGCCAGCTTTGGGCATGTCTGCACTGGAGTGCTGCCACTTGAATTTTGGCCCAGTGCCTACATAGCAGTGTCTTAAATACCACCCATGTCAATGCTGGCGGGAATTGGCCACGAAGCCAGCTGTTGCAGCACCAGTCCCAGTCTTGCAGCCCTGTCCCTGACGCCCAAGTGAACACACAGCCTTCCGCCGCGTGAGTCACCCGGAGCTCTACGGTAACCCCTCCCTGTCACAGAGGGAGTCACGTGGGCTCCCCCAAGCTCTGCGCCCGTTGCTTTGGGGCGGGGCCACAGGCCACGTCACGTCACAGCGGGCCGGGCCCCGCCGCGTGTGACTGGCGGAAAGCACACACTCGCGGGCTTTCCCCTATCCCCCACCTGCGCCTTATCCCTGCTGGCGGGGGCGGGGCAGCCCGTGAGGCCCGAGGGGCGACGCAGTTGACCCCCCGCCGTCCCCAACCCGCATGAAGCGCCAGCGGAAGTAGGGCGTCTGTTGCTTTTCCCTATCCCCCCGCATGGCCGTTGATAAAGCGTTTGGGAGGACTCGATGTCAGGGCTCCAGTGGCGCAATCGGTTAGCGCGCGGTACTTATACAGCAGTACGCAGCAGAGCCATGCCGAGGTTGTGAGTTCGAGCCTCACCTGGAGCACATCTCCTTTTCGCCCGCTGCAGCGCGGCCTCCCTCCCTGCTCGGCTCCTTATTTCTTTGTTTGGTTCCGGCCCCGGGGGCCGCACGGGGAGGGTGCAGTTGCGCTGTGCAACCCCGTTAGGCACGTGAGACCTGCACAGGGCGTCCGCGCGCACTGGGGGAGCGGCGGCCGGGCCGGGGGGAGCTTTCGTGTGCAGTGTGCGTGTGTCTACATGTATGTATGTACACAAGGGACATGATATATGTATATGCTGGCACACAGATACATACAATGTATACCATAGATACACACACACATCTCCTGACCCCAAATGTATAATGAAACAAATTTATGTTTATACATTTATAAACACAGATGAATGTTTTTATCTACCTATCTATATGTATGTTTCCTTATACAATTATGTTTTAGTTCCATATATG